TCAAAATGCCCGCCATCCATCCTAACGCAAGCTCTCATGCGTTTTAATAAATTTCTTTCGACGTTTTCCATTATTTCTTCGTCGATATTCCAAATAGCGAATCGTAATCTTGTCTCTAGATCTTCGATATTTTCGGGAAGCGTTTTATAAATGATTTCCTTACAGTATCCCCATAAGAAAAAATCTAGAGGGTTGAGATCCGGAGATCTTGCTGGCCAACGTATCGGGCCGTATCGACCCATCCAGCGTCCAGGAAAATTCTCGTTCAAAAAATTTGTAACAATTCTGGCGTTGTGTGGCCCAGCACCGTCTTGTTGAAAGATAATATTATTTCTTTCAAATAATGGCACATCTTCCAGGAAATGTGGTAGATTTTCTGTTAAAAAATCGACGTAGGTTCCTCCAGTTAAAATGTCTGGAAGAATAACCGGACCAAGAATTTCAGTGCCCATTATTCCAGCCCATACATTAATCTTCCAACGAGTTTGAAAATTTCGTAATCGCGTGACTCTCGGATTTTCTTCGCTCCAAAAGTGCATATTATGCACATTAAAAATTCCTTCTTGTGTGAATAGCGATTCATCGCTGAATATCACACGAGAGGAATATCTTGGATCTTGATCGACGTTTCGCAAAAAATTTTCGCAAAACGTTCGTCTTGCAGGGTAATCTGCTGGTCGTAAATGCTGCACGCGTGTATAATGAAACGCGTGCAACTTTTCTTCTTTTAATATTCTTTGTACGGTTGTATACGATAAATCATGTTCTCGAGCGACTACCCGAATACTTGTTTCGGGATTATCCTCGAAAGTACGTAGAACTCTTTCTGTATTCCGTACATTTCTAACGCTGCGATTTCTCCCAGCGTCATGTTTGTTCGGCAGGACACTGCCAGTATCGTATAATCTTTGAGCTGCTCCAAGTATGACATGACCCGATGGATGTCTTCGGTTTGGATATAATTCGGCGTATCTTCTTGCAGCAGGATTCTGCTGCACGTGACACTCGCCAATTGCCATCAGTATGTCGTAGTATTCTTGATTTGTGTACGCTGCCATATCTTCTTCGCGCTTATTGATATCGCTTATTGAGATCGCTGATAATCGCAAGCTTATTGATTGCATTATCGATCGTGCGTTTAATTTATACGATCTTCGCTGGGGGTCTGCGCCCCTCCTCGCCTCCCGCGACCAATCGCGAATGTCGCGCACGCTTATTAGCGATTGGTCGCGGGAGGCGAGGAGGGACGCAGACCCCCAGCGAAGATCGTATAAATTAAACGCACGATCGATAATGCAATCAATAAGCTTGCGATTATCAGCGATCTCAATAAGCGATATCAATAAGCGCGAAGAAGATATGGCAGCGTACACAAATCAAGAATACTACGACATGCTGATGGCACTTGGCGAGTGTCACGGGCAGCAGAATCCTGCTGCAAGAAGATACGCCGAATTATATCCAAACCGAAGACATCCATCGGATCATGTCATACTTGGAGCAGCTCAAAGATTATACGATACTGGCAGTGTCCTGCCGAACAAACATGACGCTGGGAGAAATCGCAGCGTTAGAAATGTACGGAATACAGAAAGAGTTCTACGTACTTTCGAGGATAATCCCGAAACAAGTATTCGGGTAGTCGCTCGAGAACATGATTTATCGTATACAACCGTACAAAGAATATTAAAAGAAGAAAAGTTGCACGCGTTTCATTATACACGCGTGCAGCATTTACGACCAGCAGATTACCCTGCAAGACGAACGTTTTGCGAAAATTTTTTGCGAAACGTCGATCAAGATCCAAGATATTCCTCTCGTGTGATATTCAGCGATGAATCGCTATTCACACAAGAAGGAATTTTTAATGTGCATAATATGCACTTTTGGAGCGAAGAAAATCCGAGAGTCACGCGATTACGAAATTTTCAAACTCGTTGGAAGATTAATGTATGGGCTGGAATAATGGGCACTGAAATTCTTGGTCCGGTTATTCTTCCAGACATTTTAACTGGAGGAACCTACGTCGATTTTTTAACAGAAAATCTACCACATTTCCTGGAAGATGTGCCATTATTTGAAAGAAATAATATTATCTTTCAACAAGACGGTGCTGGGCCACACAACGCCAGAATTGTTACAAATTTTTTGAACGAGAATTTTCCTGGACGCTGGATGGGTCGATACGGCCCGATACGTTGGCCCGCAAGATCTCCGGATCTCAACCCTCTAGATTTTTTCTTATGGGGATACTGTAAGGAAATCATTTATAAAACGCTTCCCGAAAATATCGAAGATCTAGAGACAAGATTACGATTCGCTATTTGGAATATCGACGAAGAAATAATGGAAAACGTCGAAAGAAATTTATTAAAACGCATGAGAGCTTGCGTTAGGATGGATGGCGGGCATTTTGAGCATCTGCTCTAAAATTTTTTTTAATCAATCCGCTCTTTTCAGAGCGACCAATACATTTTCACGTTGGAACATTTTATTGTGAGCAGAATAAAAATAAATTTTCCCAAATGTAATTTGTTAATTACATTATTCCTGCGATTGACTGAAATCTTCGCATCGTGAATGCAATAGTTTCGAAAATGTAATAACGCATAACACATGCTTTTTAAAATAATAATTATTTATTATGATTAAAAATAGTTATTATTTATAATAAATAATTAATTATTTTAAGTACGTTTCATGTTTTATACGTTTCATGTTTTCTACCGCATTCGCAATGAGAAAGTTTTAGCCGATTGTTCGTCTTATCTCGCGTCAATCACGCGTCAGTCGTGCAAGTCGTTTATTGTTAGATGTCGCGTGTCGCGTTTCTGGCAACACATAACCCTCGTGGTCGCGCAGTCTCCGCGGTCCGTCGCTTCGCGTCGAGTCATGTGTTCTCTCGCGTTTCTTTTAAAGTAATTTTTAGTCTCGATAAAACGATGTGAATCGAGTGAGTAATAAACAGAATAATAAACTCGTTATCGCGTAATCTGTGTTAATCGAGTGTAAAAGTGTTTCGAAGTGAGAAAGTTTCGATGTGTCGCGCATCTCTAACATCAGCGGTGCAGCGATCTGATAATCGTGCAGCAGTTACAACAATACGTAGCATAAAGATTCGCTACGCTGCTACAAGGTGAGTGAGCAATCTCTCTCTCTCTCTCTCTCTCTCTCTCTCTCTCTCTCTCTCTCTTTTACGCACACACTCCGCCATACACACATCGCGTGTAGCAATCAGCTGATTACAACGTTCGACGGTCGGCGATCCGGAATAACTTTTAATAATTAACATTATTTTAAGGAACACGTATTCCTGATGTAATTCTAAGACATTTTCTTCTTTACCAAAATTTTATTTCAAGCATAATTTTATGTTATAAGATAAAATAGTTAGTGACTCATGCAGTGGTAATCGCCTGTCGGTCAGCTGCGCCCGCGCTCGCGGCGCGTCGGGCCGCCCCTGCCTGCCTCCTGTACCCGACGCATGATTTACTAACTATTTTTGCTTATAATTCAAAAACTACGCTTCAAATCAAATTTTGGTAAAGAAAAAATTGTCTTAGAATAGTATCAGGAATACGTCATTTTAAAGACGGAAGGTTTTTCGGGATCTCCCTGTATATATATGAATTCATTACTATAGTTGCTTTCCATTTTCACACAAGTGATACTGAGTCTAAAATTATGTGAGTATGTTATACTCAGATAATGACGTCATCGTTAACTTGCATAAATGTTTGATATGATTTAAGGTTCCAACAGGACCATAGAGGTAAAGGAGAGAGTATTAGGCTTTACTATGGGTAAGGGGACTGAAGCTTTAGTGAGGAAGAAGGGTAAGCCTTCAGCCATCTTGATAGGCGACATTAGTGCTGCCATCTATTATTACTTTGACGTATTACATATCAGTTTTATATATTAGAAACACAGAAGTATGAAATGTATATATATTATTTATAATATATTTATTTTCCTGCAAATAAAATTAATTTATTATAATAATGTCTTTTACTTATAGTAATATCTGTAGTTTTTCCAATATAAAAATAACGAGTTTTAACATATTTTAATGTTATACTTTTTACTAATTGCACTCTATGACAAGTTAAAGCATTTTGATCATTTAAATGAGCAATCAAGTCTGTAAATATATTATTTATATTTAAATTACGTAGCACGCAATATGCAATATAATTGGCATTATATGTATCAGAGATAATAGTACGCTGTTCTTTAGTATAAAAACGGATAACTTTTTCTGTTTCTTTACAAATATTTACAACGCTTTGTGAGGGATAAAATAATGAACCTCTATCTTTTAAACGGATTAAAGTGCCCGTTTTGCTATTATCTATTAAAGATTGAACGCATATTTCACAAATAATATGTTTTGTTAAATATTTTACAATAAAACCTGCTATATAAATTATAATTTCTCGGGAATATTCGGATAAGGAAAGATTGTTAACAGATAACATATATGGATGATCAATCTCAAGTACTGTATTATTTGTATTTATTTTTTTATACTCGCACTCATAATCAATTATACGACTAATAGATGACGTTATGTTTATTATTTCCTCTGGTTTTGATGCTGTTAAGATTGGTACATGTGCAAGTTCAATGCAATTTCCTGTTGTGGCACTTTTAATTTGCGCCCTTACAAGTATTCTTTTAAACGCCGTCTTAAATAATCTAGCATTTGGATTATTATTTTGCCTTCCAAATGCTCTAATGCATCCAAAAAATAACTCAAGATGATCTTGACTCAGTTGATATAATGATATATACGGAAGAAGCGATTTATTTTGGCAAACATTCGGATACAACACTTTCAAATTTTCTATATTAATCAAAAATCCTAAAAAACCCGTTTTTCTATTGGAATTTACTAACAACTGTCCATCTTCCAATCTTAAAGTTAATAAATATTGCTTACAATCTTCTAGTTATAAAATTTTCTAGTTATAAAATTTCTAGTTATAAAATTTGTCTCAAGTTTCTAGAATTAAATATATCAAATAAGTCGTTTATCATGTTAAGATATTCTTCTGTTGCTTCTGTATCAGTAAACTTATCTAATTGTAACACAGTTCTAAGAGCGTTTGCAACAGATGCACTGCATACCTGAGTAGCAAAACGTACATTCATTTTCTTCTTATGGTACTGTATATGTTGTTGCCGTAATTTATTGCCGAGATGTAAACCTTCATTTTGTTGAAGTTCGTGCAATGCAACAATGTGATCCCATTTAATCATCTGCCCTTTGCTGTTAACAATACATTTATAATCACCCAAAGTATTCCTCAATAATTTTAACATATGACATGCATCTAAGAATATGTGGACTTTATAGCTTGAACTTGGATGCTCAAAATATCCTTGCATGCACTTAGGATTAGTAATATTGCACTTTAAAAGACGTATCATGCTCAAATTATTTGCAGCGCCGTCACATGTTAATGATTTTATGCATATTCCGGCATTATGTAAAAGTGATAAACATTGCATAACTAAATTTGCCTTTTGTTCTCCAGTTATACTGTTAATTAAAAAATATCCTACTGGTATCTTCCACATTTCGTTTACACCTACAACTAAAAATACTAATGCCTCCTTTGCAATACTGTGCTCCTCACTAGCAATATTATCTCCCATATCACATTTTCCACAAAATTTTTGACCATCAAACTCTATTTGTTATCGTATTGCCATTTCATCCATTATTAAAGCACTAAATAACGAGCGATCTGTTTTGCTCACTCGTTCTTTGATAAATGCTAAAGCTTCTTTATTAAAGCCTGGTTCCCCATTAACAGAACAATGCCATTTATACAATGTTTTTGGATGTGGCAGACACGAGTTGAAAGTTTCTCTAACAAAGGAATATGCTCGAGGTGAATAATAGTGTAATGTCAGAGCAAATGTATGCAATTCAGGCGAATACTTTTGACTTAGTGATTTTCCTTTTGACTTATACACTACACGTTTTAATAAATGTGCATTCCCAATGTTAATACCTTTCAAATTGTACAGTTGCTCTTCTTCTAAGAAATTTTTTTGTTTTATAGCTTCTAATATATTTTCCAGTGACACTATCTTTTTTTTCATGCGTCTTGTTTTTTGTGTTAGAGTTTTTATCCGCAGATTGTACTGTTCTTTCGTTCTTCTTAATTCTTCTCTTAACTGTTTTTTGTTGGGTGAATTATAAATTTTCCATGGAGACACTGAAGTATTGACACTCTTGATATTTTTGGAGATGATTGTGCAATTTCTTGTTTAAGATGCGTATCAGGAGTTATGAAAATTGACAATACATATTCTTTTTAGTCATATAACAACAATAAGATTTTCTCTCTTACAAAATATCAATATTTCAAGAAATATAATTATTATACAATATATTACTTTTAAGTTATAACATCTTACCAATGACATTATTGCTTCTTCTTTTTTTATTAACTGTTTCTTCACATATGAGCATTTCCATCTGTAAACATCAAATAAAAATTAATAATGCATGCGTAATAAGAATTCTGTTTTTCATTTTTCTACTTTGTTGTTAAGTAAACAGAAAAAATTAAATGTTTCAAACATGTAATATCAATGTACATTAAAAACATCAATATTTTGTGCTGCATCCATTTGTTCAGTAGATATATTGTCTGCTTGCAAGTTTAGAATTCCTCTTATGTGATCTTCATTGTTAGACAATAACTTTTCTGAAGTAACTGTACATTTTTTTGTATATATTTGCTCTATACATTTTATTGGAGATTTCCTCTGCATTGATAATGCTTGTGAAGGTAACTAAAAATATAGGTATAATGTTTTTTCAAATAGTATATTTTTTATATTATGTATCAAAGTTGATAAATCATAGCCGATATTTCTTTTCATTTTAAATCATAAAATGAAATAAAATGAAATACCTCAACAAAAATCAACTGAGCAGTGACAGATAGTGACAAGACAAACACACAGATAATGATACAATTTCAATATATCTTACATATGGGTTGGTATCAGCTTTTAATCTAATATAGCGTCGTGACGATTTATCGAAACTTTCTTCATGAAAATGCATTGAGCATATTACTGAATTTGATTTTATAGAATTCTCAGGCAACTGTAATATTTCACACCAATGCTTTCGTCTGTACGTATTTTTTGGAAACCTATTAAATATATTAAGAATTTTATTGTTTTCCAATATATATTACATCTTTAAACAATTGTTTATTATAACAAGTCTATGTTTCATTTGGTAAGATTTTTCGTAAATTCCATTATGCAAAGATCTTACATTATTATTGTTGTACTTACGTGTGAAAAGTTATCTTCTGCTTTTTTTCGAGTTCTTCTTGTTTATGTGATTTTCGGAAGGTTCTGTTATAACAAGTTTTCAAAATACACGATGGCATTTTCTTATGCACTTAATTTACTTGTATATCGTATTCTTCTTCTTCTTAGTTAATTTTACTTAGCACTCCTTCACACTATATTAAGTAGCAAATAGCTCTGCTCTGCATTAGATAGCAGCACTAATTTCGCGGAACAAGATGGCTGAAGGCTTACCCCTCTTCCCCACTTCGGCTTCAATTTCGCGGCTCTATACTCTTTCCTTTATCTCCATGGTTCAAATGCAACAACATCCCGCACCGGAGATACAACGGAAAAAGCTAAAACCGAACTTAGCCGATTTAGAAGGGATGGGGAAAATCAAGCGCACATCCACGCAACACGGGAATCCTTTTGTCAAATTCGATATAAAATCGAATGACACCAGGTTATGTCTCGATGACCGCGAGTTCAATAAACGCATGGCTAACGAGCATGACCAATCACCGACTATCAACAAGATATGTCGGTCAAATACGTTTTCGGAGATAGCTACGACGCGTGGTCCGTCGATACCTACGACGTCTGACCGGGCGGTATTTACGAAAATGCGGTCGGTATTTACGAAAGTGCGATCGGGCGGCATCTATGGAATCCGTGCGGCACCCCGCCGCGCCAGTCCGTCCTCGGCCACAGATTAATAGACAGATAGCCAATGACCTGGGTAAAAACTAGACCGCCATTTCTGTGCCACAGACTTTGCCCCTTACCGACACACTTTGCCCCTGGTTCGAGTCCGTGCTAAATTTCATTGACTTTACCAAAAGATTTTGCCCCTGGTGCGAGTCTAGGCTAAATTCCTTTTATTTTATCAACAGACTTTGCCCCTGGTGCGAATCCAGGCTAATCGATTATGAGATGAATGAGAGGTGAGAGATTTGGCTCCCGTTCGCATCCATTCACCAAAGATGGACAAAAAATTGTTATAAAATTAATATTACTTGATTGCTCGAATAATTAGTAATCAATTTAAAAAATTATTTATACTTGGATAATCAGTAATCAAAGTAAATAATTATTTGATTATTTGGATAATCAGTAATTAAAGTGAAAATTTCAGTAATCAAACTTAACAATTTTTCAATTATTCAGTAATTATATAAGATGAGATTATATCGAAATTTAATTTTTCGATATAACTTTTAAATGTGCATGAAGCATAACAAATTTGTTTGGATATTTCCAAGACTTTTAAAGTTGAAATTCTCAATTCTTTAATTAAATTTTGACATAACGCGCCTTACGTCCGTATGACTCACATAGCCCATTTATTTCTTAGTGCAATTTTTAGTTATTTAACTTCTTTATTTTTCATAAAGTTTACCTTTTCATTATCATCAAATATTTTTGGTACATATTTTCAAAAATTTTGTATTTTTATTTACCGCAGTTTCTTATACAAATATCAAATCTTTTATCAATCTTTTGTGGAAAACGAAACAATTTACAATTTTATGATATGATATTATTACAATTTTTATATGCACATCTGTCGAATATTTTGTGATTTTCTTCACGCATTGTCATAATCTATTTTAATGCAAGAAAAACGCTTGCAACAATCAAAAACAAACTACCTGTCACGAACGGAAAATATTGAGAAAATACGCAATTTCCGCGAATTTCGTGATTTTTTAAAATAATCTACAATTTCGATTAAATTATAGATTATTCAGATCATTGCACAAGTATATAATTCCCAATAATAATTTTCAATAACTAAGATAAAAAATTGTTTACTGAAAACTGTAAGCAAAAGTGCAATGGAATAAAGTCTGTGAGAAAATAAGCGAAAAAAATAAATAAATAGGCAATAGAAAATTATTAATTTTCAAACAGAAAATTCTTGAAATTATCGAGGATTACAAATTATAAAGTATAAAAATAATTCATTTTCAAACTCTGCTCCTGGAAAAGATCTTTGAAACGGGAAGAGATAAGATCTTTAAAGAAGCGAAAAGAATTAAAACGTCGGAAGAATTAAAGCGCTGCGTTTCAATAGATTAACGCACAATGAAACTGACACGCAATTGTTTTGCCTCATCTCGACGAGTTCACAAACTTCTGGCATTCTTAAGCCAGTAGAAATAGTAAAAAAAGTAACAATAATTTCAAATGACCATAAACTTTTTATTGCTTAGTTTTGTTAGCAACATAATATAATCTCATGATTTTATCGAAACTACAATTTCGTTAAAACTGTAGATTCGTAAAATCGGATCACAACACACACACACACACACACACACGTCACACTATTCACAATAATTATTTCAATAACAATGATAAAAAATCGTAAGATATTGAAAATCGCAAACAAAAGCACACTGGGAATTCGTTCTGTGAGACACAGTCGATGTGATCACTCAAGATAAGCGAGTAGAAATAGACATTATAATTCCAAAAAATAACAATAATAATTTCAAATGTCTTTAAACCTTTTTATTGCTTAGTTTTGTTAGCAACATAATATAATCTCATTATGCTAACTTCCTCGAGGTCCGCAAAATTAAAAAAAAAAACAAATTTGCAAAATTTGTTGCCACCTTACGTAGAAAATTGCAAATAATTAGCAAACTTGGGGAAATGTTTAATCGATGGTTTTTTGCTGTTTATTAAATTTGCTAACCATGTGTCCGCAACATCGAAAATTGTTAAAAATTAGCATTTTTGTTAATAAATATTCCGCAAAAATATGTAATGTTTTGCAAAAGTGTTAAAATTTTTTTAAAAATATGCGAAAAAATTTGTGAAAATTTGCGAACTCGTAAGTTGCACGCAACACGTATATATACAGGGTGACCCATTTTAACTTAGGCAGCCAAATAACTCGAAAAATAAGCACACTACGAAAAAATGGTTAGAATCAAAATTTCGTCATTTCGAGGGGGATGTACAATGACGTTAAAATCAGCCCCCCCACCTCTCCCCCTGGGCGGTGAGGGGGGACAAGTTTGAAATCTTAAACGGAACCCCCTATTTTTCATTGCATATTCTTGTAGCTTATCTCGAGAGCTTTCCAAACACTATAATTAAGTACCTTTTTATTAAGTACTTTTTTGAGTTATAAGGCTTGAAATAATTTCTTAATTTTACATAAACCATAAAATATCTAGTAAACCATTCATTTTTCGATTATCTTACCTTCATACTTTTATGTACAAAATAATGAGAGGAATCAATTGGTGTAAAGAAAACACATAGTTGTTTCTAAGAAAAAATATGTAATTTGCAATTAACAATTCCATATTTTTCTTAAAAACAACTGTATATTTTCTTTACACCAATTCCTCTCATTATTTTGTACATAAAAGTATGAAGGTAAGATAATCGAAAATGAATGGTTTACTAGATATTTTATGGTTTATGTAAAATTAAGAAATTATTTCAAGCCTTATAACTCAAAAAGTACTTAATAAAAGGTACTTAATTATAGTGTTTTGGAAAGCTCTCGAGATACGCTACAAGAATATGCAATGAAAAATAGGGGGTTCCGTTTAAGATTTCAAACTTGCCCCCCCTCACCGCCCAGGGGGAGGGGTGGGGGGACTGATTTTAACGTCATTGTACATCCCCCTCGAAATGGCGAAATTTTGATTCTAACCATTTTTTCGTAGTGTGCTTATTTTCGAGTTATTTAGCTGCCTAAGTTAAAATGGGTCACCCTGTATATATATATATAATATATATATATATATATATATATAATTTAAATTGTTTATTCGACTGTATTTCCGCCAAAAAAGTGCAAGCGTTATGAATATAGGTGACAAATACTTAAAACATTTTATATCTCGTATTTTCAAATTTGCTAACTACTTCGAGCTCGGCAACATTATTAAAACTTAACAATTCCGAAATATCCCACGCAATAAATTTTTTTTTCACGTAAGAAAAAGCAAAAAATTTTAAAAATTATCCGATTTATGTCGTGTTTGATGTCATTTTAATCGCAAAAATCTCATTAATCCATTGAAATTATTTTCAAATCGATAAAATGTGAAATATAAAAGTTTTATTTTCTGTGGTAAGATGATATATGATACGTGAAAGATAAAGATAAAGGGAAGAGAGAGACTTCGGAACTCTTTGATAATAGGTCATCTCCCTTACTCGTTATTCGTTCTCGCTCTCGATATCGTCGAACTCGAGAGCGAGAAAGAATAATGAGCAAGATGACCTATCATCAAAGAATTCCGAAGTCTCTCTCGCGAGGTTCCCTTTATCTTTATCTTTCACGTATCATATATCATCTTACCACAGAAAATAAAACTTTTGTATTTCACATTTTATCGATTTGAAAATAATTTCAATGGATTATGAGATTTTTTTATTAAAATGACATCAAACACGACATAAATCGGATAATTTTTAAAATTTTTTGCTTTTTTTTACGTGAAAAAGAAATTTATTGCGAGAGATATGTCGGAATTGTTAAGTTTTAATAATGTTGCCGGACTCGAAGAAGATAGCAAATTTGAAAATACGAGACAAAATGCTTTAAGTATTTGTTACTTATATTCATAACGCTTGCAACTTTTGGCGGAAATACAGTCGAATAAACAATTTAATTTAAATAACGTTTATTTATATATATACTTGTTGCGTGCAACTTACGAGTTCGCAAATTTTCATAAATCTTTTCGCATATTTTTAAAAAAATTCTAACACTTTTGCAAAACATTACATATTTTTGCGAAATATTTATTAACAAAAATGCTAATTTTTAACAATTTTCAATGTTGCGGATCCTGGGATGGTTAGCAAATTTAATAAACAGCAGAAAACATCGATTAAACATTTCCCCAAGTTTGCTAATTATTTGCAATTTTCTACGTAAGGTGCAACAAATTTTGCAAATTTGTTTTTTTTTTTAATTTTGCGGACCTCGAGAAAGTTAGCATAATGAGATTATATTATGTTGCTAACAAAACTAAGCAATAAAAAGGTTTAAAGACATTTGAAATTATTATTGTTATTTTTTGGAATTATAATGTCTATTCTACTCTCTTATCTTGAGTGATCACATCGACTGTGTCTCACAGAACGAATTCCCAGTGTGCTTTTGTTTGCGATTTTCAATATCTTACGATTTTTTATCATTGTTATTGAAATAATTATTGTGAATAGTGTGACGTGTGTGTGTGTGTGTGTGTGTGTGTTGTGATCCGATTTTACGAATCTACAGTTTTAACGAAATTGTAGTTTCGATAAAATCACGAGATTCGCGGAAATTGCGTGCTTTTTCGGCGTTTTTCGTTCGCGGTTGGCGGTTTGTTTTCGATTGTTGCAGGTACTTTTCATAGATTAAAATGGATAAGAATAATGTGAAGAAAATCACGATATTCGACAGATGTGCATATAGAAACTGTAATAATATCAAATCAGAGAACTGTAAATTGTTTCGTTTTCCACAGAAGACTAATGAAAGATATTTGACATTTAGATAAGAAATTACGGTAAGTAAAAATACTAAATTCTTTTCTTCCTCTTCTTTTATGTTTATTGGCTTTTGCTGATCTCAAATTAAAGATCTTATCTTGCCATTGATC